TTTCTTGTTTTCTCTCTCTCCTTTTTTCTTTCTCTTTCTCTCTCTCCCCCCCCCCGCCCCAATGTCAAGGCAGGGACTGTGACTCAGAGCAGAGTGATTCAGAGGCTTTGATTTCCAAGAGATCTCTGCTCAACTTCAGGGGCCAGATCTTAGAGGATTCCGTCACAGGATGGGTGGGGAGAAAGGGACAGGAAGGGGCTGGATCCTTGAAGCTAAGTGGACGGGGGTTTCAACCCAGAAAAGAGCTTGGTGGAGGGCTCTGGAATTGGGGTGAGGGGAGGACCCTTCCTCTGCTTGCCCCCAGGGAGCCAGGAAAAAAAATTAACCAGCTGAAAAACATCCCTGATCCCCCACAAACCACCATTAAACTAAGCTGTAGTTTAGCAAGTTGGGTGAGAGTTTGGTGACCCCTTTCTACCCCCCATCCCCCCGTAAGGTTAGGATCAAACCGCGTCCAAGCCTAATTAGGACTTTGTAATTAATTTCACCTCCTGCCTTTCTGTCCAGCAGTTCTGTACACCCCATACGCACAGAGGGGAGACCCCAATACTCCCACTGTGCGACTTGTAGTAGTGCCCTCGGCTAGAGCGGAGGCTGCCGATGCCAGGAGCCCGGCCGATGCCAGGAAGGGCGGGCAGGGGCCCCTCAGTGGTGCTCCTATCTCCTGAAACGCCCCCAGGGGCCCCCGAGGGTCTCCAGACCTGCCTTTGAGCGGCCGAACCCCTCATTCTGAGCAAGGACACTTTTTATAGCGGTAGTCCTTGACTTATGACCACGATTGACCCAGGTAGTCCTTGACTTATGACCACAATTGACCCAGGTAGTCCTCGGCTTATGGCTACAATTGACCCAGGTAGTCCTCGAATTATGGCCACGATTGACCCAGGTAGTCCTCGGCTTATGACAATTGACCCAGGTAGTCCTCGAATTATGGCCACAATTGACCCAAGTAGTCCTCAACTTATGGCCACAATTGACCCAGGTGGTCCTTGACTTATGACCACGATTGACCCAGGTAGTCCTCGACTTATGGCCACAACTGAGCCCAACATTTCTGCTGTTAAGTGAGACATTGGTTCAGCGAGCTTTGCCCCCATTTACGACTTTTCTTGCTGCCGTTGTTAAGTGAATCCTGCCGTTGTTAAATTAGCCCTTGGGTCATTAAGCGAATCCGGCTTCCCCATTGACGTCGCTTGTCAGGAGGTCACAGAAGGGGGAATCACGTGACCCAAGGAGCCTGCGACCGTCATAAGTACGAGCCAGTTGCCAAGTGCCTGAATTTTGATCACATGATGACTGTGGGGAATGCTGCAACGGTCGTTAAGTGTGAAAAACGGCCGCAAGTTACTTCCCCCCCCCCCGGGTCGCTCTAAATTTGAACGTCACTAAATGAACTGTCGTAAGTCGAGGACTGCCTGCAACTGTTGTCAGGTGAAGAGGAAGCCCATTTTGGGTGCAGCCGGCTGCAGGTTGAGCTGCGCCACCTGGGAAGGCCTCCTGCCAGCCGGCAGCCTTGGGAAGCTTTCGCAAGAGCTGGCGGTGGCACCAGCCACCACAGGCTCCGCCCCCCCTCCCCGGTCATGCCAGGGCAAGAGGGTTGTGTTTACCCCTCGCTGCTGGAGGGGAGGATCCTTCCCTCCCCTGGTGTTCTGGGCAGAGGGGAAGGGAAGGACTGGGCGCCCTTCCCTAATTGGGTGTTCTCCAAGACCCATCATCCCCAGCAGGGCACAGGAGGGCAGAGACTCCAACACACCCAGGTGGCACCAAGTTGGAGACATTCTCCTTTCCTTCCTTCCTTTTCCTTCCTTCCCTTTCTCCCACCTTCCTTCCTTCCTTCCTTCCATCTTTCTTTTTCCTTCTTTCCCTTTCTCCCACCTTCCTTCCTTTCTTTCCTTCCTTCCATCTATCTTTTTCTTTCTTTCCCTTTCTCCCACCTTCCTTCCTTTTCTTTCCTTCCTTCCATCTTTCCTTTTCCTTCTTTCCCTTTCTCCCACCTTCCTTTGCTTTTCAGAGTCCCAAGGGAGTGGGCGGCATACAAATGTCAATAAATTCAAATGTCAATAAATTCAAATTCTTTCCTTCCTTCCAACTTTCTTTTTCCTTCTTTCCCTTTCTCTCACCTTCCTTTTCTTTCCTTCCTTCCATCTTTCCTTTTCCTTCTTTTCCTTTCTCCCACCTTCCTTCTTTCCCTTCCTTCCATCTTTCTTTTTCCTTCTTTTCCTTTCTCCCACCTTCCTTTTCTTTTCATCTCCTTCCTTCCCTCCTTCCTTCCTTCTTTCCCACCTTTCTTTCTTTCCTTCCTTCCATCTTTCTTTTTCCTTCTTCCCCTTTCTCCCACCTTCCTCCCTTTCCTTCCTTCCATCTTTCCTTTTCCTTCTTTCCCTTTCTCCCACCTTCCTTTCCTTTTCATCTCCTTCCTCTCTCTCTCCCTCCCTCCCCCCCCCGC